AAATGCACGATAGAATTAGATAGATTTTGATTTTGTACCAAATATTTCATAGAGCTCTGAAATGCTCTGTATAAACCTTTCTACGAGAGCTCTACTAAATATGCATAGTGGTGTAGGGTATCATATAGTCGGCCCCGCCCGACTTTTGAGCTTTCCTTACTGGTTTTATATCTGGAATAATAACTAAACATATCGATGTATGTGTATGTATAATTTTATATTTGTGTATATTGTCTTCAATGTTTATTAGACATTCCTCTGGGAATTTCTCCACAACAAAAATACATCCGGTATTGAAAAAAAAGAAACAAGATATTAAATATGGTATGCAATTCTAAAATGCTCTTCGATATACGTCAATATAAAACATTTTAAATATCAACCAGATTGTCGCTACACCTCGAAATATGAATTTATCCGTCTAGCGGAACGGCTTGGAAAAATGAAATAAGGAAAATAAAAATTAAATGAATAAAAAATCAATTGGATAATTTGATTAGAACCAGAACTATTTGGGAATGAATTAACAAAAATTTTCGAAAAAGAACCAAAAAAAAAAAAACTCAACCAAAACCAGCTGGGTGGGATTTTTTATTTTAAAAACCTTGCCAATAAACACTGTTTAAATTTCTTTAGTTAATTTCCATTAAAGTCAACTGCATTCAATCAAATAAATATTAAAAAAAGAAAAAAAAAAACAAAAAAGACACCAACAAATAAGAAAAAAAAACAAAATTTTAGCTTAAACAACAATTTTTATAAAATAAAAAAAAAAATATTTATATTAAAAATTCTGCTCCCACCTTGGATGCTTTGTGGAATCTGCATAATTTCAGGTTCTACGCATATTAATAATTTTGTACATGTGTATAAGTGTATGTGTGTGCTGTTTCAAATTCAATTAAATTCATCTTGATTGCCCGGCGAATTCATTAATCTCATTTAAATTGATTCCCTGGTTAACATTTTTGAGGTTAATTTCGGTTCCGATGGATGGACGGTTTGAGAAGAGCGTCTTCGCGATCTCATTTGGATATGCAAGTCAACGTTACGCCACATGACCGATTAAATTTACATTTTTTCGGTTGTTGATCTTGATTTTATTTTTTATGGAAAAAATTTAAAAAAAATAATAATAATAACAACAACACATAGGTAGAAACGTCATACAATGCTGAGGTGGTTCCTAATCTTCTTCAGCTTAGATCATTGGGGCCATTAAAAAACTCATCGTCTCTTTTCATCAACTCATTTAAAATGGGAGCTTTTATTATTCCATGTTTTTGATTTCAATAGAAATTCTAACTGTAAAATTTATTCTAAGAATGGAAATAAAAAATTGAAATTTTTTGCTGATATAAATTATTTTCGAAAAAATATGTTTCAAATTGAAATTGATTGTATAATATACACCTTTTAACATATTTTTGATATTTCCAATGGGGAACATATGGGATACATTATATAATGCCCGTGTTATTTGTTTAAACATATGTTTTTAATTACACCTACTTAAAGTGAATATTGAAATGATTGTTAACAATAAAAAAAAAAAATATTGAAATACTTTCTCGTTGCAAGAGTTGTCATTCACTGCAATAGGATGGCATCGTAAATGTGAAAGTAAATAAAAATAAAAAAATAATAAAAATCTCATAAGCAAATAATTTGTTTCCGAACCAATTTTTTAAGCTCTTCACTGTGCAGAATATCTTCAAAAGCTATTCTGCAAGCAGAAGACATTTAAAAGCTCTTCAATAAAAATAAAATATTTTATAGAGCTTCAAAAAGTCTTCTACGGATAAATAATCTCTTAAAGCTTTTTAAATATAAAAGTCATTTGAAAGCTCCTCAGTAGATAACAAATCTTTTCAAGCCTTTCTATACATAACGGAAATGTGAAAGCTTCTTAATAGGCAAAAGCCCTTCTATGAGCAGAAAGAATTTGAAAGCTCTTCTGTGTAAGACCTTTAAAAGCTCTCTTCTGTAGACAGAACACAACAAAAGTAAATTTAAAAGCTCTTTAATAAATGAAAATAATATAACAATTTCTAAAAATTCCTCTATGGATAAATCATCTCTTAAAACTTCTTATATATAAAAGTCATTTGAAAGCTCTTCAGGAGATAACATATATTTTCAAGCTTTTCTATACACAACGGAACTTTGAAAGCCTCTTAATAGCCAAAGACCTTTGAAAGTCCTTCTATGTGCAGAAGGAATTTGAAAGTTCTTCGGTATTAGACTTTTAAAAGCTCTCTTCTGTAGACAGAACACCATTGAAAGCTTTCTATAGACGCAAGACCTTTAAAAAGGACATTTAAAAGCTCCTCAATAAATAAAAATAATTTAAAGATTTTTAAAAAGTCTTCTGTGGATAAATCATCTCTTAAAGCTTCTTATATACAAAAGTCATTTGAAAGCTCTTCAGAATATAAGATATATTTTCCAGCTTTTCTATATACAACGGAACTGTGAAAGCTTCTTAATAGGCAAAAGACATCTGAAAGCCCTTTTATGAGAAGTAGGACTTTGAATAAGATAGACAAATCACAATTGAGAGTTCTTACAAAGACTGATGACCTTTGAAAGCCCTTCTGTAGACTGAATTGAATATTGTACATAGAACACAATTGATAATTGTTCTCTACACAGAATATCTTTGAATGCTGGTCTATAGATATAAGAGTTTTGAAAGCTCATCATTTGAAAAAAAAACTTCGAAAGCTATTCTATAAACAGAATGCCTTTGAAACTGTTCTTTAGACAGAGGATATTCGAAAACTCTTCTTTATGAAGAGAATACTCAGAAGCACTTCTACAAATAGAAGCATTTAAAAGCTCTTCTATAAATAAAATACCTTTAAAAAGCTGAGGACATTTGAAAGCTCTTTTAGGGACGGAAAACCTTTTAAAGCTTTCCTATACGCGTAATATATTTAAAAGCTCCATTATAAACAAAACCCAACTTAAAAGCTCTTCTAAAGACATAAGGCTTGAAAGCTCTCTATGGACAGAATACATTTGACTGCTATCATGCAGACAGAAAAAATGACAGCTCTTTTATAAAAGAAATAACCTTGAAAACTTTTCTACAGACACATAAACACATTTTATAGAACATCTTTGAAATCTCTCTAATCACAAAGGAGCTTTAAAGCTTTTACTCGTCTATAAAAATAATGATAATAATGGTAAAGCTTTTTTATCGATAATCCTTAAAAGCTCTCTTACGAAAGAAGACCTTTAAAGCTTTTATATCTAATGAAAAGCTTTATAGACGACCTATAGAAAGAAAACCTGTTAAAAACTCTTCCACAAATGTAAAAAGTTCGTCTATAAAAGTAATGAAAATAATTTTAAAGCTTTTTATCATTTAAAGCACTCTGATGAAAGAAGACCTGTAGACAGAACAAAATTAAAAGCTCTTCTATAACCAAAAAACCTTGAAACCTTTTCTAAAGACATAGATTTTATATAAAAATAATGAAAATAATTGTAAAGCTTTTTTTGAATAACTTTGAAAGCTCTCCAATGACAGAAGACCTTTAAAGCTTTTATATATAAAGAAAAGATTTAAAAGTTTGTCTATAAAAAATAAGCACGACTATAAAAGTAATGAAAATAATTTGAAATTATTTTTATCGAATATCCTTTAAAGCTCTCTAACGACAGAAGACCTGTAGACAGAACAAAATTTAAAGCTCTTCTACAAACAAAATAACCTAGATAATAGATGTAAAAATCCCGTCTATAAAAATAATGAACATAATTTTTAAAGCTTTTTTAGAATATCTCTAAATGTTCTCTAACGACAGAAGACCTTAAAGCTTTTACTTCCCCAAAAAAATAAATAAAATAATTTTAAAGTTTTTAATATAATATCTCTAAAAGCTCTCTAACGACAGAAGATCTTTAAAGCTTTTATATCCAAGGAAGAGCTTTAAGAAAACGTCAAAACTAATTTATACATGTGCCACCTTAAATAGAGCTTTTATAGACAAGCGGAATTTTAAAGCTCTTCTATAAATAGGAAACCTTTTAACGATATTCTCTAAATAGAATACATTTAAAATCTCTTCGATGGATGATGGAAGACCTCCAAAAGATTATGTCAATAGAAAAATCCCTCAAAGCTTTAAAGCTCTTTTATAGCCAGAAGAAAATTTAAATTCTCTATAGACAGACGATCATTTAAACATATGTTATAGGCAGAAGACATTATAAATATTTTCTATTGACAGATGGCATTTAAAAGCTCGTATAGATATATAAGTTGGCAGACTTCAAAACTCTTTCGTAGTTCGGAAATCCTTCAAAGCTTTTCTATGATTGAAAGAGATTTTAAAACTTCTCTGAAGCTTTTAAAAACTCTTAATTGTAGAAAAAACTTTAAATTTTAAAATAATTCCACAGAAGAAATAACTTCAAGACTCTTGCATAGCTCCAATGGCTTTTAAAGCTCCAGTTTAGATTTTAAAACTGTTGTTTAGCTTTGAAAGCCCCTGTTTAGCTTTTAAAGCCCCATAATCTTCTACAGTAAACCACTTTAAAGTAAACCAAAATATTCCATGATCTTCTACAGAGTAAAAAAAATTGAAATGAGCCAAAGTATCTCAAAAGCTTTTTATAGATAAAAAAGCTTTCAAAGGCCTTTAATTTACCAAAGTCCCTTTAATGTCCTCTTGGGACATAATATCTCTTCTAGGGGTCTTCCATGTTCACAGTTAACTACTAACCTGTTTGTTTTGTTTTTTCCAGGTTGTTTCCGATTTTTTGCCACTCAGCACTTCCAAGTACTTGAATGTAAACAAAACCCTTGAAAAAATGCCTTCAAATGGCCACAAACCGGGACCACTTGAAAAAACAGATAAACACCAGCAGCAACCTTTTTGGGAGCAGATTGGCAAAATAAATAATAAAAGCCACAATCAAAACGCCAGACCAAATAAGCAGCAGCAGCATCTTCGTCGTAAAGAAGATGCGGTCTATCAACCACGAAGTCAATCTCAAAGTTAAACAAAACAGCGATCGGCAACAACAACGAGCGAAATGTGAACGCTTGTTTTTTTATTGCTTTGCCGATTCTGTGCGGTTTGTTTCGCATTTTTATATAAAAGTGATTTTGTCAACCGAAATTATTGACAGTAACGGATCAGAATTCGAAGTGTAAACATTTGCGGATAACAAGTCTGGCTTACAAAAAAAAACCAACACAAACAAATTGAAAAAAAAAAACAATTTAATCATTTGTTCAAGCGAAACGGATAATTAAGAACACACCGAAGGATTATTGTGAAAAAAAAAATATTTACAAGAAAATTCAAACCCAAAAAAAACACAATTTCAATAAAATTCAAGTGCCCAACTCATCGCTGAACAGCTGAAAAACAAAGCATCTTGAAAACGAAAGAAAAAAAAAACTGCAAAACCGAAAAAAATTCAACGTCCAAGGCTAGAAGTGTTAATATTTTGTGCAATTGTTTGACATTTTGCGTAGACTTGAAATTTTGTCCAGCAAAAAAACAAAAAAATTTGACAAAAAAAGAATAACCTAAGCCAATACCATCCATCCATTTTGAAAATCGAAAAACAAACGTTCGACCGCCACACCAACCAAATTAACAACAAAAAAATGTTTGCTGTAAATGGAAAGGTGAGTTGTTGTTGTTAGCTATTGCTGCTGCCCATGATGTTTTTGTTGCTTTTTTTTAATTTATCGATAATGAAGAAGTTGTGAAGAATTTACAAACCAAAAAAAAAAAAAAAAAAAAAAACAAAAAAAATGAATAATAATTTAGCACAAATTTATGCGAGACATCATTTTGCCAGCCATGACTGTCTGCCGCTCGGCCACTTGATTGACAGCCTATAATCAATGCAATGTGACTTGTTCGAATTCGTTCAATCGTGCTTGAGAAAAAAAAACAAAACATAATACAGTGCTAATATGCCAGGGAATAATAAGAGGAAAAAAATATTGCAAATTATTAAGTTATTAACATTGGTCAAGAATATTTGGAAAAATTTGACAGGATCGGCCATGGGAAACCTTACAAGTTCTTTTCATGAATGCAAATAGAGCATGCCTGGGAATGAAAAAAATATACCTACATACATATGTATATACACTGGTGGCCAAAACTAAAGCAACTTAAATCACAAAGACAATAAATGTCCTGTAACTTTTACAAAAATAAACAAATCGTAATTATTTTTCCAGTTTTAAATGAGGGGTTTAATTCACTTTCAAGAAACTAAAAATAAAAATACAAAAATAAGTTTGAACGAAAAATAATATGTGGAAAACTAAAATGACCCAATTTTTGCTTGGTCAAAACTAAAGCAACTTTTGATTTTTTATTTTAAAATAATTAAATTTTGGCTAGTAGTCGATAGCATAACCATTATTTTTGATAGCAGCTGCACACCTACGAGGCATTGAATCTATAACACGCTCAATTTGATCCTTGGGTGTGCTTTCCCAGGCACCCCGAATTCTTTAGAAAATGTTGTGCTTATTTATTTCCGAATCTCTCTTGATCTTCCTATCTACGATACTCCAAAGGCTTTCTAAGGAGTTTAGGTCCGGTGATTGTGCCGGCCATAACAAAACATGAATTTTTGACTCCCGCAACCAATATTTGACAAGTTTTGATACAAGTTTGGGATCATTGTCATGCTGAAACACACAAATCAGCCCAATATTTTACTCAGCGTAAGGGAACAACGTGATGTCCAACACATCTTTGTAAACAAACGGATCCACAACTTCCTTTATTTTATGGATAGACCCAAGTCCATAGAAAGAAAAATAGCGCCACGCCATTTTTGACCCTCCCCCATGCTTCACTATACCTTTGCAACACTGCGGCTTGAGTCCTTCATTTTTTGGTCTTCTCACCGTAAAATTTTTCACGTCTGAGCCTTTAATATTAAACGTAGACTCATCCCAGAAATAATGTTTTTTCCATTGAGCTTGATTCCACTTAATATTATGGTTTCCGAAAGCCTTTTTGATTTTTTCAGATATAAATGGTTTTTTGATGTCTTACGGGCACGCAGACCAGCTGCCACTACTCGTCTACGCACTGATCTCGAGCTTATATCCAATGATTGCTCTCTCACCAATCCTGTTGAACTCTTAAATAGTTGTTTTTTATTTCTCTCACAATTTGTGGATCAGTATGGGCTGAAGTTCTTCACGGCCTTCATCCGTTATGGACTGTTACTACTGATCCAGTTTCAAAAAACCGACTTAGTGCACAGACATAATTATGAAATCACATAAATATTTATGAAATATTTCTCGGAAATCATTTTCTGTGATATGTTGTTTTGATAATCACTGATAATTTGCTGTTTTATTCAGGTACAGTATTTGCTTCTAGCCATTTTTAAATTTTTTTTGGCAGTACTTAAAAAACGAAAAGAAAAACACATACTGTTGTAAAAAACTTCTCAAAAAGGATTTATGACAAGCGAAATTGTCGAAGGAAGCAAAAAGCGATAAATATCACAGTAAAAACCACTGAAATTGCAGCGGTTATATGAATGTACAACAGAGTTGCTTTTGTTTTGTCCAAGCCAAAATCGGGTTAATTGACTTTACCAAACATTATTTTTTATATAGAAATGAATTTTGGTTTTATGTTTTAGGTTTTTAAAAAGTGAATAAAGTACCTAATTTAAAACAAGAAAAACTTTCTCATTTTCTTAATTTTTGAAAAAGTTACAGGGCATTCATTCTCCTTGTAATTTCAGTTGCTTTAGTTTTGGCCACCAGTGTAAATTATCCTTTGGCCATCGAATAGTGGAAATTATTTTGTCCATGATTTTGAATTCTGATCAGAAATTTGAGCCCTTTTGTGCCGTTATATGGAATTTCACAGTAAAAATTGTAAAAATATGACAATAGTTCTCAATAACCACCAAAAGTCACAAACAGTTGAAAATACCTTCCAGGAGTCGACTGTTCTTAGAGGCTTTGTAAAAAGCCCCATCTCTTTATTGAAGGACAATAGACAATGAGTTGTCACAGGACATGTACCCTTTTATTGGAAAAATTGGAGAGGGTTTTCTTAGGGATCCTTTTGGATAGGTAATGTAGTTTATTTGGGAAAATATATGGACAACACTTCAAATGAATAGACCTGATTCTCCTCAGCAAAATATTTTGAAATATTCCACGCTTGTAGCTCTGGCAGTTCTGAGGGAAACCTACTATTTATCCAACACAAAATATACTATAATTTGGAGGTAGTTGAAAATTGTTAGCTCTAATCGTCCTTAGAAAATTAAAAAAAAATACATTACAGCCCTTATTCTTTTTAAAAATTTTCGAATTATGTACCTGATGGTTTTAATTCATAGATGAAAAAAAGAAAATAAAAAAAAAATAGTCCTAATATTTACAGATCTTAAAAATTCCATGTTCCTAACTTTTATACAGCTTGGATTGTTCTTTAAAATTTAAATTTTAAAATTTTAAAAATCCTTATTATTCTTGGAAAAAAAACTGCTGTAAATAGAAATGTATTTAAAATAATATTATGTCCTCAATGATATCTGAAAAAAAAATTAAAAATTTCAATATTACATCATAACAAATTCTTAAAAACTCGGAAAAAAATGTTGAAAAATAATATGTTAGCATTGATAATTTTTGGACCAAAAACCTCCACGTTAATGCCTTTTATAGTCCTGAACAAAAGTCCTGACGATCATAGAAAAAACTTATCTTTAAAATTATATACCTTAACAAGTAATAAAGTCCGGCAGATCTTTTTATACCCTCCACCATTTGAAATTAACTTGAAAAAATTCAAAAAAAAAAAAATCCGTCGAAAAATACCGCTCAAATGAAAACCTTTATGTGGGGACTATACGAAGACGTGGTGCTGGATAAGTAATTTTATGTCATCGTAACGATTCCGAACTTCAAATACGAAATTCGAAACAGTTCCGGTGAATAATGTCGCTAACATCATCAAAATACCGAAGAAAGGGAGATACCATTGTATGAAAAATTTTCCGTCATAGGTTGTACTACCCATTACGAACTTCAAATACAAAATTTTACGTGGAAATACCGAATATCTCGGGATATAGACGATTCTCTTCCAGTGGGTAAAGTAATCAGAGGAAACTCCTTGTGTGAAAAAATGTGTCTAAAATCATCAAAATACCGAATATCGGGAGGTACACTTATATGGGGGCTATACGATATCGTAGACCTATATGGACAATTCTCTTTCAGAACTCCTTGTGTAGAATTTCAGACAATTTCATTGAAAAATGTGATTAAAATCATCAAAAAATATCGATATAGCCTGCAGGACAAAAGACAGATAGGTACAAAATGTTAGCTTCCTATCTTTATTTGTTTTGACTCTAGCGTGATTACAATAGACGAACGGATGGGAAGGGCTAAATTGTCTTAGACTTTTACCCTGATCAAAAATATATACATCTTTTAGGACTAAAATTATTATTTCGATGAGTTACAAACGGAATGACGAACTCATAATACCCTCCATACAATGTATGGCCGAGGGTATAAACACCAAAATAGTACCGTCCTAAAAAGTATAGTCCTAAAAAAATCCCACATTAAGGATTTTCATAATTCTTAAAAAAAAATTCTCAAAGATCATTGATTACGGATTTCTTGGTCAATAAAATTTAAATCGGACGGAAATATAAATGGGAGCTATATATAAAGCTAAATCTCCATAACATAAAGTTATTTCTGAGATGTATTTGATACAATGTTCCGAATATCCTTGTTGCGCAGTGCATATTACAAATGTGAGGGACTTAAAAAAGAAATGGTATGAAACATATATCTTCACCGATTTGTACCAAATTTGAAGAACTTCCTTCTAAGCTGATTTTCTTCGGATGTACCGAAATAAATCCTCTTTAGAAGAATATTACACACATGTGGCGACCAATAAAATTGACATTGGAAAAATATATTCTTGGGAGCTATACCTAAATTTGAACCGATTCTCGCCAAATGTACCAATAGCGTTCGTTCTTGGGCCAAACAAATGATTTATGGAAATGATAAATGTGACCTGAAGTTTGTGTAAAAAATACATGGACAGACGCACATCCATGCATGAATCGACTCAAAATGTGATTCTGTGCAGATCATCAAAAGGATAATCATGAATATATCTCGTTAAAAACAAATGCACAAAAAAATGATAAATAAAATAATAAAAAAAACATCGCACGATTTTTTAGGCAGTTCAAAGGCCATTTAAAAACATTTTTGAACATCTAAAAAAAAACATTCTACAAAATCCAAATAAGCAATTCAAAAAGTCTCTGAAAAAAAATTTTAAAATTTGAAAAAAAAAAATAAGTCCACGTCGATTAGACTTTGATAAAATAATTGGCAATTTTTTTAATCCTCGTTTATTAGACTTTGAAAAATAATAATTGAAACATAATTGGAACATTTTTTTTTTTTTTGAATCCACATTGATTATACCTTGAAAGATTAATTGGAACATTTTTTTAAATCCTTTTTGACTTTGAAAAAAAAATTCTTCAAAAATCTACGTTCGTAGACCAAAATTTTTTTTTTAATAATAACCTACAGTGGTACCTCATAAGCACTTTTTAACATTTCTTACAAAATCC